TATATATATATATATATATATGTATTTTATATATATTATAATATAATTTTTATTTTTTAAAATATATTATTTTTTAGATAAAAAATTATGTATGTGTTAAATATTAATAGTAGTGGGGGCAAGTGCTCCACTGTGTAGAACGTAGATTCGTCCCTGACTATGAGGCACTTTCCTTGTTAAGGCAGGTGCAAATAACAAAGATTTGGCATTAAGCTTTACTTTTTCCCTTGAATAACACTGGCATACTCATATAGCATTAGCTTTCTCTTGTGCCATTGATGTATGGTATGATATGGTAAGGTATGGTGTGGCTTATTATCTATAACCCTATATTTGTAGAAGTCAAAGAACCAATGCTTTTCTAACTTTTGTATTTTAGATAAAATTAAACTACGAACTTACAATCAAGAAGTATGAGTTTGAAGCCTTGAAACCAAATAAGGAAAAAGTCATCTTAAAGCAAAACAAAGATCTTGTTGGGATTCAAACAAGTCCCACATCGATAAAATAATACAACAAATAACAACTTATATAATACAAACATACTTCAATGATTGAGAGGCCTTTTGGGTGATGACCAAAAGCAAAATCGTGAGGGCTAAGGCCCAAAGCGGACAATATCTCATCATTGTGGAGTATGTTTGTGTTGGGATACAAACAAGTCCCACATCGATAAAATAACACAAGAAATAACAACTTATATAATACAAACATAACATACTTCAATGATTGAGAGGCCTTTTGGGTAATGACCAAAAGCAAAACCGTGAGGGCTAAGTCCCAAAGCGGACAATATCTCATCATTGTGGAGTATGTTTGTGTAATAACCTTATAAAAATAATTCATAAAATATTTTCTCAGACAAGTACCATAAAATAACCCTAATGTGCTATATAAAGACAGATTCTGTTGCATTAAAATAACACAAGAAATAACAACTTATATAATACAAACATACTTCAATGATTGAGAGGCCTTTTGGGTAATGACCAAAAGCAAAACCGTGAGGGCTAAGGCCCAAAGTGGACAATATCTCATCATTGTGGAGTATGTTTGTATAATAACCTTATAAAAATAATTCATAAAATATCCTCTCAGACAAATACCATAAAAATAACCCCATCAGTGGTATCAGAGCCTCATAAAAATAACCCCATCAGTGGTATCAGAGCCTGGTTGGATTCGGTGGAGAGGTCTTTTGGGTGATGACCAAAAGCAAAACCGTGAGGGCTAAGGCTCAAAGCGGACAATATCTCATCATTGTGGAGTATGTTTGTGTAATAACCTTATAAAAATAACTCATAAAATATCCTCTCTGACAAATACCATAAAAATAACTCCATCAGTGGTATCAGAGCCGCAGGTTGGATTCGGTGACAACCAATAACCCTATAACCCCTCATAACTCATAAAATATAATGTGCTATATAAAGACAGATTCCGCTGCATGAAAGGTTAGGTCCCTTGTTTGAGAGGAGGATTGTTGGGATTCAAACAAGTCTCACATCGATAAAATAATAACAATTATGGCTAAAAATATTTCATAAAATATCCTCTCAGACAAATACCATAAAAATAACCCCATCAGATCTACATATCCGTAACAATTATGGCTAACTAATATTTATTGCTAAAAGTAGAAGTCGGTGAAAACTTCACACTTGAACCTCATTAAAGCTATAAATAAAGCTTAGTTGTTCCTCTCAAATATCATCCCCAAACCTTTCTTCATTTCTTTATCTACTTTGAGAATTTACTTTTGGTAGTAATATTTTCTTATTTTAAAGAGTGAATTTTAGGGTAAAGAGCGGTGTAATTTTCTTTTCTATCATTTTTTTTTGTTCTTATTTTGTGGTACTCAATATTTATGTCATAAACTAGATATTGACTATTGTAAAGAAACAATTTTACTTGTGTTTTGTGTGCTCTCGTTGGTCTATTTTTTTTTAGAACTTTTTAATTAGTTTATATCATGTAGATTATTTGCATAGATATTTTTTGGTCTGTAAAGTTGTTTTCTCATTTTTTTTTTACCATTAATAGATGTAGTGCATGAGACCCCAAATCTCTCTCTATTTTTCTTCTTCTTCTGTTTAAGCCATGCTCCACAGATTTTTTTTTTCTTTCCAATTTTAACTTATTCCAATATGATGTAAAATTAATTACTCTAATAGGTCAATTGTTTGATAAAAAGGTTAAAATAAAATTAAATAAAAAATATTTGCTATGTAAGATTCTAAAACTAAAAGAATATAAAGTTAAATAAAAGATACACAATTTTTAATATATATATATATATATAGACAA